TAGTCCAATATTGGACACATTTGCGGCATGTTTAATTTTCAATGTTTCACATTTCATATGTTGAACAAACCTATTTTACTAGAAAAATTGTGAAACAAACCTTTTTCACTAGAAATATGTGAAACAACCCCCATTTCATTAGAAATCTATTTAACCCAATTATATCTCAGATACGTGAAAAAAACTTGTTTCACACACACTAAAAATGTGCAATTGAAATAGATGTGACATTTAAATGTATCATACAAAATGTAATTGCAATGTAGGTTTTGAAAGTATTAAATAGTAACCACACAAAGTGAAATTGTAATGTATCATTGTGAAACTGATTATATTTGAAATGTGAAATAGATTTTTGAAAATGTGCAATTGAAATAGATATGGTTTTTATGAAACTGACTTTTTATAAATGTGTATCAATTTATTTCAAAAGAGTGAAATATGTTATTTCAGCAATGTGTAATTGAAATAGATGTGATTTTTGTAAAACAAGCTAGTGAAAAGTGAAATGTAGGTTCTTAATTGTAAAAGAGTCACTCTATAAAGTGAAAATGTATCATTGTGAAACTGATTATTTGGAAGTGTGTAACACTTGATTTCAAAAGAGTGAAATATCTTTTTGAAAAATGTGCAAGTGAAATAGATTTAATTTTTATTAAACAAACCGGTGAAAAGTGAAATATATGTTCTGAATTGTGAAATAGTAACTACAGAAAGTGAAATTGTATGTGTCATTGTGAAATTGATTATTTTCAATATTTGAAATATGCATTCGAACTTAAACATGATTACAAAATATCCAAGATTGATCTCATTTTAAAGGTTTTCACGCAGGAGTTTAAATATAAAAAAGGTTTCAAAAACTAATATATAGTTTAAATTATATGAATGTTTTAAATTAGACAAAGTGAAAGAAACGGTTGAATTTATTATGTGAGAGAAGAGAGAGAGTGTTATGCCACATTGCTATCATACATGCACGTAGAATACAGTTGTGGGGGCTAGCTTCTCAAATACCAATATTCTTTAAACATAGAAAGAAAAAACAACATGAGAAGAGAATATACGATGTTACATGGCACTAACTGATTGGCTAGAGCGTATAGTTGGCGGATACCGGTACCGCGCAATTTTCCCTTTACATCTTATAGTTTTTTTGTTGAGACGTTTACATCTTTCTTTCTTTTTTGAGACGTTTACATCTTTTAGATTTTTTAGTGGTAAACTCGACTTTATTGATTATTGTTTTGGTTTACAGGAATAACGAAGGGATCATGGGGTACTCCCAGCCACACGTGGCACCTTTGAACTAAAGAAGTACAAAATTTTACTAAATTATGAGCATCAACATTCCTTTGTCGACCTTCAAAGATGAAGTCACATTGAACAAATAGTCTCGCCTGGGCCTGAATCTCCTTGATAATATTGCTGTATTTTCCTTCTGACCCTTTCTTAATTTTCTCCACAACTGTATTACAGTCGCACGCAACAACAATATAGTCTGTATATAGATCCTGTGCTAGGGCAAGATCCTGCATATAGAACTTTTAGTTGTCACATCACAGAGAGCGCTGCCTTAATGTGGACTGGCCGGCCGGCTTCCTCACATAAGATATTTCGGTTCGTACAGGCATGTCTATGTATGGACATTTTTTACGATTCAGTTTTCTACTTAGGCCAGGTCGGCTTTTGTCTCATACACGGGCCACACATAACATGTTGCTAAATGAAAATCCGCTACGGACCCCGCCTATTTCGTCGTGTTCATCACGTGATCAGGGCCTACCTCCGGCCTTTGGGCCTTCATTTGTCCGGAAGATATTCAAAGTACAGAGCCTTTCACTTATCCCATCATTTCCCCTCAAAAGCACAGGTATGATGCAAAACAAATAGTAAGAGCATCCCTAGTGGCTTGTCTAAATTTGATAGTTTATATCTACATATACACAATGGTGTAAAAAGATTTTCTTTTAGACAACCTAAGTTTTCCAGCGGATTGTCTATATACATGATGTCTATATTCTCTTTCATATATTTTAATAGTATCTTATAGCAGCTATATTTTCTAAAAATCTTATGTTGGTCATTTCTGAGTTGTTCTCATTTATTTTTTTCATCCGCAAGACATATAAAAGAGAAAATAAACCAGCCGCGAAATTATTTTAGGTTCAACACTAGCAGCACCCTATATAATTTACGAGAAATAAACAATAGCAACAGGTTCAACCCTGATGAGGCGGCGGTCCAGGCGCAACGACCTCCGTGTCCAGCGCCGGCGCGGCCGCCTCCCTGCCGACGTCCTCCAATTGCTCCGAATTGGTGAATGGCTGAGCTCATGAGCCAACATTTTTGGTTTAGACATTGTGGCTTGGTTGTCCAAATGTGGACGACGGGAAGCTAGTTTGGACATTGTCTAAATTTTAGACGACGCAATAGACAAACCACTGAAGACATTTTTTGGCATGTGGTAGTCTAAATTTGGTATAGACCATCATTTGCACAAGCCACTAGAGATGCTCTAAGGATGTGAAGTGAACTCCTCCCCGCTCCTCCCTCTGTCGCTCCCGCGGGCGGCAGGGAAGGAACCCTAGCCGCCTCCTACCAGCAGCCCTCCTTCTCATCCTCCCTCCTCGTCACCGCCTGCTCGCGCCGGCGGGCAAAGCCTGACCGGACTAGGCGGCGGCGGGTCGATTTCTCCCCCTCGCGTGGTGGGGTTGCCGCTGGCAGATCCAATCAGGCCGGGGCGCGTCGTGGTGTGGGACGGCGCGGCGGCGCTGTGGCGGCGACTGGCAGCGGTGCTGGGCGTCTCCTGATGGTGCGGAGGGGTGCACGGGGGCGGTGGAGCGTGCTGTGTTCGCGGGATCCAGGCGGCGCGGGAGGTGGGCTTTCTTCCGTTGGTTGCGGTGGGGTGTTCTTGGTCAGGTCCGGCCGGACCTGACTCCGGTCTGCTCCGGCGCGGTGCGGGAGGTGGCGGCAGGGCTGGGGCGCAGGCTACGCAGTGGCTGGCGTGTTCGTGGCGGCGGAGGCTCTCGGTTTGGGATCTGGCGCAGACGGGTGGCGCGGGGGCGGGCTGCGACCTCGGCGGCGCACCACAACCGCTGTAGGGCAGCTCAGAGCTGCCCCTCGGGGTCCCAGCATGGATGTGGGCTGCCACGGCGTGCTGGTGCCTCATGGCGGTGGTTTGGGTCGTTTCAGGGCAGCGGCCGAACATCTCCGGCGTCGGCCCGTCGGGAAGCGGCCTGTTTTGGCCTTTGATTCCTCTCCTCGGCGTTCGGACGCTACCTTCGTCAAAGGGCTGGCCCTCTCCCAGCTGCGGTCCATCGCCTGTCTCGCGCCCGGTGCTGCGAGACTGATCTCGTCTCGCGCCCGGCAGCGGGACCGAGCTCGTCTCGCGCCCGGCAGCAGGACCTACCTTGTCTCGCGCCCGGCAGCAGGACTAAGCCCGTCTCGCGCCCGGTGCAGCAGGACATGACGATGGAGGCCAGTCTCGGCCGGCCTCTTGGGTCTCGGCGCTGGGGGTCGCCCAGGGGTGCGAAAGACAGGGCCTTTCCACTCGTCTCTTTGGTTGGAGTAGCGGCTGGTCTCGGGTGAGGTGGTATCAAGGTCTTGGATGCCAAGGCGGCGGCCCTGGTGGTGGGAGCGCGATGCTCATGTGCAGAGCTCGTGGCTTGGTGCTGCCTGGTAACCATGGGCGTGTGGGTGGCATGGTTGCCGGGGTGTGGCGTTCGGTGGTGGTGATTGTCGGCCTGGGTGAAAACCTGCTCTATCTTCCGACGGATCGGCGGCGGCGAATCATTCCCTTATTGAAGGCGTCGTCGCGGCCTTCATTACCCGTCGTGTTGCTTCAGGGAAAACCCTGACCCTCGTGTCGGGCGGTGACGGCGCTCCGGTGTCGTTCCCTTCCTGAAGGCGCCGCCTTGGAGCACACAGTTCGCCATATGCGGCTTCACCTCTTGACGGTGGCGTGTTCACGGCCGAGATCTCCAGTTGCTCTTGTAGTAGTAAGGGTGATGTTGCTGCGCTCAGCATCTTTGTATCCTGTCTTGGATGTGTGTGTTGTGTTGGCATGCGTTTATACCGGGTTATTAATGATATTTACTTTATATATAAAGCGGGGCGAATATTTTTTTGGTAAAGCATAGATATCCCATCATTTTTCTCTAGTCATAATTAGTTTCGAGGAGTAATGTTATCTAGATTGCGTGAAACACTGCTGTGCCTTTGCACCCAAGTGCACTGGACAAGCCTTGCTTGTATTTGTAACTTTCATCAGGCCTTGGCCTATTTTGAAATATAAGGTCGGCAGTTAGCCACCTTCTTTGTTTCAAAATAAATAAATAAAATCTATTCAAACAAATTGTATTGTCTCTGCAGTTTCAAGTCATACCTATTATGTAAATTTAATTAATCTGTGATTGGACAGTTTTTATTTTGCGGCACTGTGATTGGATAGTTAGGAGGACAGTGGTTCCAGCCTAATAAAGTTTAATTTTTAGACTTGAGATTGCTGATTTTTCTGGATTTATTTTAGACTTTTTGATGATGTGCGCTCAGTGGGAGGAGATGTTCCCGTCGATTATCAAGACGTCTGTGGCGACTTCGTGAATCTTAAGATGATGTACCGTCTTTCAAAAGAGTTCATAGGGATAAGATATTCGTGCGTGTGTTCATAGATATGACTATACGTTGTTGTGTATGTATGAGCATCCGCATCTGTGCTGTGTTAAAAAATGTCATACCAATCCTTTTTAATTCTTAAAAAAAGAACGGAATTTGAGTACACAAATGGATAATGTAGCGCTCCTTCCTGACTGCAAATGTGTACATGCACATGGACAGACTGAAAGTTCAGCTAGCAGGGAGACGATTGAACAGTCAACTTACCCTTCAAAACCCTCAAGTTGCTTACCCCGCCGTCTCTAGCCCGTGGCTATATAAGTTTGCGCCCACACACAGAACAGCCGCACAGCAGCACAGCACTAGGACAAAGTGAACCAAGCATGGCTACTCGTCCCGCGTCCTACGCGCTCCTCCTCGTGCTCACGACCCTTCCCCTAGCCCTCGCCACCAGCTTCCCACACCGCGCTCTACTCCAGACATGCCAGCCGAGCGGCACCATCGCCGGCGAGTCCGGCAGCTGTAGCACGGAGAACGACTCCGAGTGCTGCGAAGACGGGCAGCGCTACAGAACGTTCGCGTGCTCCCCACGCGTCACGGGAAGGACCCGCGCCTCGCTCACGCTCAACAGCTTCGCCGACGGCGGGGACGGCGGAGGGAGGTCCGAGTGCGACGAGAAGTTCCACCCAGACTCCCAGATGGTCGTGGCGCTGTCGACCGGGTGGTTCTCCGGCGGGGGGCGGTGCGGGAAGCGTATCGTGATCCGGGCCGCCAACGGGAGGACCGCCACGGCCACGGTGGTGGACGAGTGCGACTCGAAGCATGGCTGCGACGAGGAGCACAACTTCGAGCCCCCGTGCGCGAACAACATCGTCGACGGGTCGCCGGCCGTGTGGAAGGCGCTCGGGCTCGACACGGACGACGGGGTGGTGCCGGTCACGTGGTCAGACACGTGACCTAGGTACACGAGCTGCCAAACGCGACACACGCACTCGGATCCGTCATCCGTGCTATATCACTGTCGTCCGTGCATTTCATCACGTATTAGTATGTCAGAAGAATAACTAAGCATGCCCATGCATGCATGCAACTGTGTAAATCCTTGCCGATCAATATATGTAATGTTCTCGCTGTTCACGGTTATTACAAACGTCAGTTCATTCAGTTTTCGGCCACCAATACTGTAATTCGATAGTTTCGCTTATCGTCTTCATTTCAGCCCAAGGAACCAAATTAAATTAAAAATCACTCAAATCCAACCAAGATTTCACAAATTTCGCGAACATAATACTGATTCTGTTCGTGGCTGAGTCTCGCCCAAATCTAGGAGCCACTTTTATGCTCTCTCTAGCTACATCCAGAGACGGAGCCAGCAGGGGCCGGGATGGGGCATGGCTCCCTCCATGCTGTAAAAAGGTCTCAAACTAGCCCCAAATAGTATGTGGATTTAATGAATTTTTTTCTTGAATATGCACGAGTGTGCATATCATTCATTAAAGAAGAGAGGGGAAAGAGCCCCGAATCCACAAGTCCACAGTTACATGATTATTTACATTCGGACTTCGCCCGAGACCACCCCCAAACTTACAAAGGACTACTCGGTGTGGATTTAATGAATTTGCTCGCTAAATTCCTAACTCCATCCGTGGCTGCCCCAAATAGTGTGAGTTCTTTCATGTACTGTAGCAAAATTTATACTCTCTTCGTTCCATAATGTAGTCCGTATAGAATTTTTTAAAAGTCAAACTTTAGAAATTTTCATCAAGTTTATATGGAAAATTATTTATATCTACAATACAAAAAATATAAAATAAGAAACTACATCTTATGATTAATTTAAGGGTTTATGTTTGGCATTTTAAATGTAAATATTTTTCTCCGCAAACTTGGTCAAAATTTATGAGGCTTGACTTTTCCAAAAATCTATATGTACTACATTATCGGACGGAGTAAGTATTGTTGAGTATTGTAGCAAGTATGTGACCTATGGCTTGCCTAGGCCTGCCCTGGTGGCTAAGTAAATAGTTAGTGCATAAAAATAATATAAAATGGCACCGCAACGTGGCTACATCATAAATATTTCAACATCCATTTTTTTACAAATACTTGCAACCTTATTCAAGCACAATAACCAATACATGTACATTGCTTTGGATCAAAGACTTAATTACAAAGCAAGTTCTAAACTAAGAGTTACAACAAATATACCTTCTACGTGCTAATATTTTTTGGAAAACAAAATTCTCCCAAGGCTTCAACAAAGACACTGCAATTAGACCGGAACAACAGTACACAGCCACTCGTACAAATACACGAGCTTGATTACCAATAAAGTTTTAAAATAGACCATTGATTCGTCCATCCAAAAGATAGGAAACCATGAGCGATGAACAGACTTAAGATGATCCTCTAGAAGTGTAGGTTTTTGACCAACAAGATCTTTACCATAACACAAGATTTTTACCATAATGCCAAACCCTAAGCCCCAAGGGCTATAGTCATAGTGATCCTCCTATTCAATTACTTCAACCATTTTCCAAGCACCTCATACCACTTCCAAGGCATATGGTAGTTTTACTATGTATGGAGAATTTCTTTTTGTTCAAGTGTCCCTTTTCATCGGTCTCGGAGATAGATTATTTATTTATTTATGGAGTAAAATACCGAAGTCGTGGTAAAAGGAAATACTCTAGTTTCAAACAAAACCGAATAAAAAAAAGCACCAAGGCACACATTGACAAAAGCTTGACAGATCCAAGAATCGGGTCTGCAAGGACACAAATCTTACTCAACAAAATCAGTTTTGCAAGGAAACATAACTCTGGGTCTGTGGCGTGCTCAGTAAAGCATCATCACAATAGGGGAAGAACCAGATGAGTTTTAGTTTCAATGACATGGCGCCCATCGCCAAAAGGTTGTTGTTGTTGAGGATAAATGTACTTATGTTGAAAGATGTACGGGTATCTGAGGTGCCCTTCATACCTCACATTGCCAAGTGGTGGCTGGAGGCGAGGGAACCGAGCAGATTTTGACGATGGATGCCCATGGAATTCTGCTACTACTTTTTGGGCTTGCACAAAGTAGTGGGAAGGGTTTACACTGAACATGGGGCTGTGGACTCAGGGCATTTTTTTTGGCTGGGGTCCTTCTTCCTTCTTGGCCTATA